GGCCCGTACAACCGCTCGACAATGTTTTGACGAAATTTCATGATCAATAACAGGACAGACGCATGAAAAACTGACCTCAATTTGTTTAAAATACACAGTTTCAATCTAAATTGAATAAAAGAAAATAGAAACAAGAAAACGGATTTCAGTAATAAACAGAGGAATTGGGCCACATGTACGGGATATAAAATGTATTGTACATAAACTGTGTTCAGGACTGAGCTGTGCTCCGTTTCGATGTACAGTGGAACCCCGTTAATACGGTCACCAACGGGCCATGAAAACTTCGCATGAATCGGAAGTCAATATAACTTTGGTATGCTATTGATAGCATCGTTACCTTCGATTAACCATACAGAATTATCCAATATTTGAAAAATGAAAAACTGAAAAAACTAACAAATGTAAACTCAACAAAGAACTTGCCACTCGCAAAGAAGTTGACAAAAATTGTGTAAAAGTGGTGTAGTGCATCTTTCTTCAAGAAAATTCAAGCGTATGTGAAGCGAGAATTATTTAGCCTACCTTGCAGGCCAGCCATCTTGGACGCGTTCCTCGCTTCGCGATCAGAAGACAATTAAAAAAGAGCTGAATATTTCAAAGACAGGAATTCTTCTTTGGCTTTTTGTGAAGCCAACAGTTACAATATTGTTCACTTCGTGATCTTTTGTACCACCTCGAAGAAAAACTCGCACGCGACGGTATGGTTACCCTCTCTGTATAGGAGGGAGAGAGGTGTGTCGACTATACTCTAGCCTGATTCTCAGACGTCCAAGGTCGTTCGCGGCCCCTTCGCCTCCCCTCTCAACGGGAGAAGGAGAGATGGGACTGGGAAGCGAAGGGGCCGCGAACGACCTCGGACGTCTGAGAATCAGGCTAACGATACTCTCGCTAGAATGCCTAACATCGATGCTGCTGCTGACTTTTTGACTACACTGAATGGTCATATCCGAGCCTGAAGTTTACAATGGAACTTCCTGCTGATAATATGATCCCAAACAGAACTTTGAAACCCGTGTTTACAGAAAGCCGACAAACACTGGTCTACTCTTGTATTTTCAAAGCCATGTAGACAAACGTTGCAAAACCGGTTTATTGAAGACCATGTTGGACTTGCATCGCGCCTATGCCCTATCATCTACTACAGAAGCCTTTTTGAGGATTGTGTCAAGTTACGCTCTATATTCTCCCGACTTGATTATCCAATTGGCCTCATAAATTCCACCATTGATATGTTTATTCAAAATATTGCATCTAAGCCAGAAAAGAAAACCGATGATGGCAACACGATCAGAATAGTTCTCCCCTTCAAAGATCAGATAACTGCTAATGCAGTCCGTAGGCAATTACGTGATCTCAGCAATAAGATTGCCGTCACTTTACAGCCAATTTTTGTGAGCAAAAAATTGAAGCAAGATCTTAAGCCAAAAGAAAGCCAGCATTGCGTTGTTTATAAATTTGCACGTGATCTGTGTGATGCAGATTATGCTGGTTATATAACCCGACACCTTCATCAACGCATTGCCGAACACAAGTATTCCGGCGGCTATCGGTAAACACCTTTTAGAAGTGCACGGTGACAAAACCGTCTTAATGCATGAGGGCCACTTTCGTGTTCTCAAGAAGTGCCACGGGAAATTTCACTGCCTCGTTTAAGTAATGCTATTCATCAAAGAACTGAGGCCTAGCCTTAACACTCAGAATGACTCTATCAGTGCTAAACTCTTTGTTTAACTTGTAGCATATTTTTTATGTTACCTTTCTTTTTAATGAACTATTGTTTCTCTTGTATTTAAAGAGTAGTCATACTGCTTTTTTACTTGATAATGACGTCCGAGAACGTCGAAACGTCGTGCATTTTTTTAACCGTTTTTAAAAATTTCTTAAATGTTTTTAAGAAAAGTTTTTTCGCAGTAAATTGTTTCCAACCAAACAAAAAAGACGAATGAGAAAATCCGCATTTTTGCGCGATTGTTGAGTTAATTTTGTGTCCCTGTTTATGTTACATTATTTACAATGAATAGCCAAATAAACCTATAGTTTCATTGGCCGATTGTAATTGTTTATGTTCTTGTTAGATACATGACATCTGGGCAGCACTTCTTTAGGTATTAGGTGGGAGAAGAGCTATTTACCACGCTTAGTTCTACACCGAGCTACCGAGCTGCTGACGCCTGATGGGTATTTTTACCACATTGCATGGTGGGAATGCCACAGAAAGCCATCGAAGAATATAAAAGAAGAAACATTGAGAATATAGCGTCTAAAGATCACCGAAAACTTTCCCCTTTTCTTTTTTTCTACGGTAAGATTGGCAGCCTATTTTGCCTTAAGGCTTTAATTAGGTGTCTTTAAAACTGTACAAGTGTGTCGAGGTCCGGATAATGGCTAGAAAAAAGGGACATGAAGTGATGGCGTGATCATTGTCTTTGTTTGGCGTTTTCCTTCCTTGCAGGTTTCCTTCAACGACGCGTTTTAGTAGATTAGTGAAAAGTTACAAAAGTGGACGGACGCGGGGCAAAATCTTTGGAGTTTTCCGGAGTCAGGGAGGTTGTACCTGCATCGCTGCCATTACAAGAGCCAAACCAAGTTCATTCGCAGCAAGCTTTTCAACGATGGGTCCCTCCACAGATCAACCGACTTCAATATCGTAATGATGAAGCGGTTTTTCGACGGGTCCGAGGGTAATAATGCCTTCCTCTTGTTTTTATCAATTTTTTGCAGATTTGCCGATGATCCTGGTTGCTTCTTTTCTTAAAATAGAGTATTTAGCACCTGGGTTTCGAACCATTTTAGTTGAAATAGTTGGGCAGGTAACGACAGAAATGCCAACTGTCAGGAAGATTACCGTTGGACTGATTGTAGACAAGCTCGCTCCTTGAAAAAGCCTTGAAAATATAGCATCACTTGGAGCATTGACGAATTTTATTGTACCACTATTAAAAGTATGTGTTTTTGTTTTATGAAATATTATATTTGGTAAGTTTTAACTTCATCTTCACCTTAGAAAATGGTATTAAGCTTATATTTTCTTTATTAAACCCAGTGGCCCTTATTTTAAAACATTAGTTCTTCCTTAATAAGCCCTCTCCTGTGGATATACTGTGTGATAAAAGTAATTCCTGTTTTTTTTATCCATGGGTTTTACTGTTTCGTGGTACTTTCTTCCTACCAATCAATTTGCAGCCAGTTGAATTTTTCATGCAAGGGAAGAACTGTGGAAATTATATTGATTGGAATATTTATGTGAAATGAAATACTCTGGAAACGTGAATTATTCTTTACAGTTGTGGGGTATAACAAAACATATTATGATTGGTCCTATGCCACCAGAACCAGTGCATTTTATTTCCCAGAGTCAAGCAGTATTTTCTTTTTTTGGTTTAGAGGTTAACTCAAGTGGGAAAACAAAATTTTCTTTTCACTTTGAAGCAATGATAATAATAATATTGACTAGAAATTTTATGCTAATGGTTAAATGTTCCTGTTTTCATAGGATCCTCAATAAATTAACTCCGGATAAATTTGAAAAACTCTGTCATGAACTGCTTGGTGTTGGTATTGAGACCAAATATATACTGAAAGGGGTAATACTGTTGGTGAGTTGAACATGATGACTTGCTTGTAAAATGGAAAAGATTAAGCTTCATTTAGTTTTAGATTTAGGAGACTTTTCCTGTTGGAAGCAATAAATATTAACACACATGAAGGCTTTTAGGTAAAAAAAAATTTCTCTCAATAGCTGACCAATATCATAAGTGAGCAATTTTGAGCCTTTTGATTCATTCCCAGGCTGATGGACACGAATAATACGTTATATATTGTTATGGCCATCAGTTCGGGAACGAATATTATAGAAAATACTTAATAAGGTTTTTTATGTAGAAAAGTTGTCCAATTTATATATCTTCATTTGAAATCTTTTGATAAGGGGGAAAGGCTTTTAAAATACCATAATTCTAATTTATACAGAAGAATTCTTTCAGTCTTTGTTCTGACTCATTTCACTTCTCTTCATGAAGGTTTTTGAAAAAGCTCTCGATGAACCAAAGTACAGTTCTATGTACGCCCAGCTGTGTCTGCGGCTTAGTGAAGAGGCACCAAATTTTGATGATCCTGGAAAGACTGGCAACTCAGTGAGTAAATCTAAAGAATAATTTAATATATTAAGTGCTTATTTTAGTGCTTATTTACTTTCTAATTGAGGTTGGGTGTTATAACTGGAGATAACTAAACATAAATTACATTTGACTGAAAGAAGTGATGTAACCTTTGGCTTTAACAAGAACAAAGCCCTTTTGACAGAGGGTGGGAAGAATTTGACATAAATTTCAGATTTGTTTATCATCATTTCAATACTATTATGGACAATTAAAAATACAGTAGGTGTAATATTGTTAGTGACTAGTACTTTTGTGTCACACTTCTGATTGATGTCAATTCTGCTTTAAAGACATTCAGACGTTTGCTGCTTAAACAGTGTGAAGAAGAATTCAACAATAGAACTAAAGCTAGTCAAGGTATTTTTATTTTGTCTTCTTTACTAATAAAGTTCTGTTTAATAGGCAGGGTATCAAATGCCCCTGCAAAATATTCATGTCTCACAGAAGTCAGATTGCTTGGTTCTTTCCGTCTTGCATTTGCTCATAAGGCTGAGTCTGGAGTTCTTGTCCAAAGCTGAGAAAGTCATGGACTTGCATTTCAGTTATATGAAGTCTTGTTGTCTTGCAGTCTGTGACCCCTAAAACATACAGTTTAGCTAGCACTATTTTACAAGCTGAGTAATTATCTATAGTAGAACTTTGGCAAAAGTAGAAAGTATTATTGTCTATAATGATAAATGTGTACTCCAACTTGCATTTTAAAGTTGTCACGGACTTGGAGTACAGTTATATTAAGTCTTGCTGTCTTGCAGTCTGTGATCCCTAAACCATATCGTTTAGCTAGCACTATTTTACAAGCTGAGTGATTATCTACAGTAGAACTTTGGCAGTAGTAGAAAGTATTATTGTCTATGATGATAAATGTGTACTCCAACTTGCATTTTAAAGTTGTCACGGACTTGGAGTACAGTTATATTAAGTCTTGCTGTCTTGCAGTCTGTGATCCCTAAAACATATCGTTTAGCTAGCACTATTTTACAAGCTGAGTGATTATCTACAGTAGAACTTTGGCAGCAGTAGAAAGTATTATTGTCTATAATGATAATTGTGTACTCCAACTTGTATTTTTAAGCTTTTGATACGAAGGATGGTCCACTTACACCGGAAGAGGAGGAACAGCGGTCTAATACCAAACGAAAAGTGTTGGGAAACATACGTTTCATTGGTAGGTGCCACTAGATTAACATTATTTTGAAGAATGTGTCAGAGGTTTTCACCAGACGACAATTGTTTGGTACTACACACTGTAGTGATATCTTCCATGTGGTTTATGATTATCCTTGGGGATTTTTTTGGCAGAATATACACACAGGTCTCTGATGATGTTATACTACAAATTACATGACTTTTATTGCTCTTGTTGTTGTTCGTTTTCCAGGTGAACTTGCTAAGTATGACATGTTGCATGAGGCCATTGTACACAAGTGCATCAAGCAGGTGAATGTGTTAAATATGAAAATTAACTACATCAAAAACATGTAACTTGCAAATTTTTATCGTAAGAAAAAAAAATTTAGTTCAAGAAGCCATAGCTCTGTCTACACCTTGCCATGTTTATTGTTTCTGTGTAATTTCAAATATTAAGGTAAATTCCATCTTTAGTTCTAAGGATGATATAATGTAATTTGTATTCTGGATTGCCACATGTCTATTAATGGCACATCAAGTAGTTTTGAGAATTGATTGATTCACAATAACATATTTCAGTTTGATTCTCTTTATTCTGATAACCTGTTGTTAGGAAACAGACAATAATATTGTAAGGAGATCTTATTTGCTGATCGCTCTCATGAAAAGTGCTTTTTTCTTGCTGCAGCTGCTGGACAAAAAGAAGCGTGCAACCGTGGCAGACATGTCAGAATCCATGGAGTGTTTGTGCTACTTGATGCGAACCGTGGGGCCAAAACTGGATATTCCCAAAGCTAAGGTTTAAGTTGACATTATTTGCTCCTCCTGTAACTTTGACTAATTTATACTGTATTTTTGAGCACTGGTCAGTAGCTGTCTATGGTAGTCATGCATTCCAGGCTTGCTAAAGCCGGGATTCACAGGGACATCACATTCTTTATGTTATGCAATTATTCTTTATGTTCATGAAATGTGGTTTTCTGTTTAGCCGGCTTTTGCTGACTAGGACATTCCAAGCAAAATATTTTCCTTAGTCATGGTGTGTGGTTCATTTAAGTTGCCATATTTGAATTTTTTTCATTTTTTTATTGCAGCCCTTGATGGATCAGTACTTTGAGCGAATCCAGCAGCTCTTAGGTCGCAGCGACTTCCCAGTGCGTATCAGGTTCATGATTGAAGATGTCATAGACCTTCGAAATGCTAAGGTACTGTAGCTCTGAATGCATGTAACACTGAAGTGCATAACTGACTACTCTTGGTCAATGAGACCCAACCGATACCTCCTGTTAGTGGGTAACAACTCCATTTCATACTCATTAGTCACTGCCCCCCCTCCCCTCCCCCCCACACATTCGTAATTCAATAAGTTTAGTACATGAATGTGAAATCCTCTCCTAAGCCGGCAGTTATGCTTTTCTCAAGGTTGTCTGCTTGCAAAGGGCTTAACACCATCTTGTGCTTGCCATTGAGAGTTTATTTCCTTGCATGCAAAACCAATAATTTACAGTGTCTGTAAGAGTTTTCTGTGTTTGTTTGTTTGTTTGGTTGTAGTATGAAGTCATTAATCCAACAATGTTTTCTGGTAAACTTTGCATACAGTGTTCATGTTAGTCATCAGAATTTTTTCTCGAATCCTGTGAAGTTTAATTTATTTTCTATACTTTGCATGTATAGTGGGTTCCACGGAAGTCTGCTCATGAGGTAGGACCCAAGGTGATTCAGCAGATACGGCAAGAGGCTTGGCAGGTAAAGCACTGCATTCTCATGTCTGCGTCAAGCAATTCAACTTGCGCATTTTATATCAGTTTTCTGTTTGGTCATTGTCAGCCTTGCAGATCTACCATTCCATGAGCTTATTGTGCCTCATTGCCTCTAGCTAGTTTCACTGCTTTCAAGAGAATTCTTAATTGATAGTTTTCTGTGAGTTTTGAACTCATCAATCTTAATCAAGGTCAATTCATCCTGCAACAGTACATGTTAACATGGTTTGGAGTTCCATGTCACACACAAGCATTGTTGCTAGCCTCCTGAGAAAGGGATGGCAAGTCTACTGATATCAACCCCTAGCTCCTTTCTCACTCAAAATGTTATTTTATTTGTAAAACATATTAATTTTTAGGAGCTGAGAACTGAGGACAATAAAGCTGGGAATTTGATGAATTTCATGTGAACAAAATGTCAGTAGTTACTTGTCAGCTCATGCAGTGTTTTGCTTACCACAGGGTCATGGTGGTCGACCTGGTTATTCTGTGCCTGCCCATGGTCACATGCCAAGAAACACCCCACCACATGCTCACGGCAACTGGATGAATCGTGCTATGGGAGGAGGTAGCAGGATGTCAGAGCCCCCTCAGAGCCGCGGAATGAATGATGTATTTGTCACAGACAATGGCTTCCGTCCCTCAGGTCCACGGTTTGATGACTTTGGTCCAGGTGGAATGCCATCCGACAGGGCTGGGTTTGGCTTAAGGTAACTGAAGGCAATGTGCTTAAATCAAGTCCACTCACAGCAAGTGTTCACCTTGAACATGAGTCTTTTAAACGGAGTTTAACTGCTTATCATCAAATGCAAAGTTGTTTTAAGCCCTTCAATTGATGTTTTCTTAATGATAAGATAGAATGTTCACCAAATTTTCAGAGGTTTTATGAAGTAAATATTTGGTAATTAGGAAAGACATTTAATATTTCAAACCAGACACGAATTGTGTAAAATTAATGCATTTTCCAGCAGATATGATGATGATGATTTCAGTCAGTTTGCTCCTCGAGACCCCTGGGCTGATCTGTCAACAAAGCATAGCACCATGCCATCCAATTCTATGATGCCAAAACCAGCTGGAGGTAATAATTGTCTTTTTCTTCATTGTGTAACCTTTGCTAGGGTGGAGTGTATCCATTGTTGACCATTGTTTTAAGTGAAATAAACTACAGAGTTAAAAAGGGAATCAATGAGAGAAGGGAAATTAAGCAGGGCATCCTTGAGGACATTTAACTGGGAAAATGTGATTGACTAATATTTTTCTCAACCCTGTTAATGTGACTTTTTTGATGAACAGGTGCAGGATGGAGACCAACATCGAGACAAAATCACATCAGTTCAGATGGTGAGGTATGATATCCAAATTACTAATGTAGCTACTGTAAAAGGTGCATTGAATTGGGGTAGATGCCATTCATAAAATGGGTACATACTCCACAAGATGAACACCTTCACCGCTGGCATTCTGCCTTTACTTCTTTTAACTCACTGCTGTGCATGCTATGAACCAAGCACAGATGAAGCGTTCTTGTTTGCTATTATTTCAGATGGCATTGTTAAGGATACATTTGTACTAGCATTGTATTGTTGTTTAGATAAGTTTGAGGCCAGCAAGGGATTCAATGGCTGCTTCTCAAAGGCCTGGTTTTACTGGCAGATCTCAAACTCCACCAGCTCAAAAACCACTGGTAAGAACATTTTTCTGTTAAACACTTCTCTCACTTGAAACAGACTCTTGTCTTGGCATCAGTTTTGTTGAGCATATTTTTTTTTTTACCTATTAGTATTCATTCATACATTGTTTCATCGCTAATTTATTCATTATTTCATTGCTAATATTATTTATGTGTTTTTATTAGTAATTATGTAATGTTTTATTGATAATTTATAAGTTCTTTAATTGGTAATTTATGCATGCTTTCATTGATAATTTATGCATTCTTTCATTCGTAATTTATGCACTGTTTCAGGATCCTTTAAACAGAGCTGCTGCTCCACCCATAATGGAGAAGGCAAAGAAACCAAATAAGCAGCAGGCAGCTTCTACAGCTGACCTCTACAAGCAAGTGGTGAGCAGCAGCTTCATTACCATGTTATTAAACTCTCATCATAATTACGAGCCTTTGTACTTCTCCTCAATTTGTATATGTACACTTCGGCTAATGATTTCTTGCTGAATTTGGCCTGGGCAACATCTCCAGTTCATGATGTATGTCTTCCTGTTCCAAACCATGTCGAAGGGGGGTCTGAATACCTGCTGAGGCGGCAAATACTTAAACATTTACTTTGCTTTTCAGTGCTAACTAAATAACATAAGATTCCTGATCTTCCACTAAAAGCTAGAGTCTCGGCATTTTGTAGATGTACAGCCGTAACAATTCCCAAGCTTATCTAGTTGCGATGAGTTTAATGTTTTCATTTGTACAGGAGAACATTGTTGCTAATTTCTTGGAGGCCAAGGACATTGACGTAGCAACAAAGGCTGTAAAGGACATCAAAGGCCCAAGGTATGTAGCTGGGTGTGTCTTTAATAACCTCATGCCATTTGAAAAATAATATATGTTCTAAGTTTTGAATCTGCAAAGCTTGAACCAAGAACAGCTTAATTTTACATTTTACACTTGTTTGTACTGCCTCCATGTAAATTCTGATCTTTTGTGAAATTAATGATGCGTTTTTAGCAAGTCTTATGAACATTTATAACAAGTTGTTTTTGTTTGTAACTTTAGGTACCTGACAAGTCTTGTGAGTCAGTTGCTGACAGCAATTCTTGATACGGAGGATGGTGAATGTTTCAACAAGTTGTTTGTTTCCTTGCACAAGTCACAGTTGTTAACATCAGATGTCTTGATCAAGGTGAGTTGCCTGTTGACTTGTTCTGTGACATTGTATGATTTGAGCTTGGGTTTTCCTTCAGGTGATGGTTGACAAGACATCAGGTCCCAGATTTGCTGTTAAAGATGCTAGAAACCATGAGCAGGGCTGTCTTTAAGTTTTGACTCACCTGTAGACTTGTTCCCCATGCGTGTAGCAAACTTGCCCCTCTGTGGGTGAATTGCACCTGTCCAATTGTAGTATCAAGGGCCAATCAATCATACTTGGCCATAACAAGCGTTACGGGTTATGGCCCTTAATGACAACCCTGATGAGGTCATTTCTGCATATTGAATGTGTAATTACTACTGCTTAGTGTCAGGGGCAGATCTAGAGGGAGGGTGCATGGGATGTGCACCCCCCCCCCCCCCTCCCCTGAGATGAAGTCCTCTTCTTGGTATTTGCTTTCAAACTTTGTTTACCCCACCAGTCAGTTATGCCATTCCTTAATGGTGCACCCCCTTCTGAGAAAAATCCTGGATCCTCCCCTGGGTGTTGATTTGCCAGAAAGTAAGCAGATTGTGACAGTTTCAACAGTGTCAGTAACTTTCACTGAACTCAACTAGCAACTAATGTGCTTTTGAAGGAAATTGTCTTGTTGTGCAGTTTGCTTGTACTGATGTTTTGTAATGTGCATACTGAGTAGTGTACATGTATTTGTCGAATAACATTGGTTGTCTGTTTAACAGGGAGTCTCTGGTGTCTTGGAACAGCATCATGACACAGAAGAATCTGAACTGAAAATCAAGAAACAAATGGCACAGTTCATGGCTAATGCTGTGACACAGGTAAATGTGTTGTCAACAGATAACTGACAAAACACATCTGAATGACTTTTTGGTTTCGAGGACTTAAAGCTTTTACAGCAAAACATAATGTACCATTTTAGTTTGGATGGCTTGTTGCCCCCTTTCAGGCCATGTGATGATACTCTTGAGAATTCATGCTTTCAAATTTTGAAATAGTTGCATGTGTATGAATGACTAATTTTTAGATTGATGAAAGACTAATTCTCTGGAGAATACCATGTGGTCTGCAATGGGAAAACAAACCACCCAAGCTCTAAAGCATTAATATTGCAATCTCAAGGTGTACAGCTTAAAATGATAACATGCAATGTTGACATTATTCAACCTTTGACAACAGGAAATGTTGAGTTTAATTGATGTGAGCTCTGTAGCAGAAAACGGGAATTTCTACCCAACTCTGTTGCTGTGTCTGAAGGAACTGGAGACCTTGAAGGGACAGGTGGGTATCCTTATATGTAATTTCTTCTTTTTATACTGCCAGTTGATTTTGCGAGGGTGGGCATATTCACATGTGTTTTTTCCACTTTGTGTGTTTGAATTGAATCATTTCTGGACAGTTCTTGTTGCTGTGAAGATTTAAAGTTTCTCCCAACAATAGTTGTTGTTACTGATCTGCCAAGATTAGCCAAATGCTACCAGTGGTCAGTTTTATGCTAATATTAATTTCTAGATGCAATTGAAATAAAGTGTTAAGTGTATTTCAAGTGCATTGTCAGACTGAAGAAAGATATTTCTGCCTATGATGCTGTAATTGTAGTTTCAAGTGCGAGTTTTGATGTCTTTGTCTGGTATATTTAGAAAGTGACAAAGAATTTTGTGCAGACTTA